TTTATCCACTGAGCCATTTTGTTACTCCCAAATTTGCTAAATTGTTGCTAAATGTACTTGATATTCATACAAATGTATTTGATATTCATACAAAAATCATAGGTAATATATGTTAACTAAATAAAAGGCATATATCAAATTTGGGAAGCCTCAGACTAACAACACTGTTATGTCTGCTTCCAAACCCTTCTATATGCTTGTCAGTTATGGCTCACCTTAGAGGTGACCTTGATCCTATAACTGGTACTTACTACTCTTTTGGGAATTCAGTTTTATCACATTTGCACATATTCCTAGACAATGAATTTCTCATTTGTCACATTTGTTTAAATGCTTTATTAAAGATTTCCGGCAAGCTGGGCAATAGTGGCACACACCTTTACTCCCAGCACTCAGGAGGCAGAGGCAAGTGGATCTCTGAGCTCCAGGCCAGCCTGGTCTACAGAGTGAGGTCAGGACAGTCTCCAAAGCTACAGAGAAACCCTATCTCGAAAAAATAAAAAATAAAAAGCAATGACAAAAAAACAAAACTAAACAAACCATTCATGCTATATGTAGCTTCCTGCGTTACTTTTCGAAACAAACATCTGACATTTATCAAGTATGCCTGTAGTTTATTTTTATCACTTTATAATATCCTACTATGTAACTTTACTATGATTTATATTACTTAAGTATATTATCCATCTCTAAGATGATAGGAATGTATGCTGTATTCAACTTACAGGCAACTGGACAATGCACTGTTGTGCAATGGTGCTTTTAAACACATACTGTTGACTATCCATAGTCCATATAGAATAAGATCTCCATACTTTACAACTTGCTGACAGTTGCAAAAAAAAAAAAAAAAAAAAAAAAAAACTTTTAAGGGGGCATAACCCAAATCTTCCCATATTTGACAAGCACCGCCTAAGTTCAGAAGCATAGAAGGCTGTAGATAAAATTATAGTAAGCTGCATGCAGGCTACTTGACCAGTTTTTCTAAAATAAAGTTTAAACACAGTAAATAAAGACAAGGGGGAAAATGTGGAAAGGTAAATTCTTATTTACTATGTATGTGCATTTTCTGACAGTAGGGAACCGTTTATAGATGACAAGAAAAGATCAACTTTATACAATAAATCTACCCATTCCATATCTCCCCTTGCTGTCATCATTTGTATAGACTTGCCAGTGTTCCTGTGTCTCCCGACCCAGTGACCATTTCATCAATTCTTCATGTTAACTTCTCTACAGCTGCCATCACATGTCAAATGTCTGCCGCACTAACACATCAACTGCCATCCTTCCCTGAAATGATTCTCTAGTTCTCCTTATCTCTGCCTTTTCCTGGCTTTTTTGGCCACTGTCGTCACTCAGGAAAGTCAACTGTTACTACTCCACCATCAATCAATGTCAGGCAACTATGGCTGCAGGTGTCTTTTCAAGGGTTCCATACTGTTGCTGTTGTGGTGGTTCACCACTGATCTCAAATTGCTTCAATCACCCAAGGCCACGGTGTTAAAACTTTCTGAGACACTGCTTCAACCACTCAGCCTGATCATTCTATTTACTCTACTTTTATAGTGACTTTTAAACTTCGTTCTTGTCTTATCTCTAAATTACTTACAAGGGTTTTAACATCACTGTTAAGATCTCAAGGCCATAACACTGCTTTCATCTATTAGGAAAATATCCTTGATTAATCTGGTTCTTTAAAGAAACATTTGCTAGCCAGACATGGTGGCCCATTTCTATAATCTTAGGAGGCTGAGTCAGGAAGACTCTCATGAGTTCTAGGCCAGTCTGGATTACACAGCAACTACCAGACAGACAGGGCTAAACACACAGACTCTGTCTCAACACACAGCACAAAACACACAGCAGCTGAGACACAATAAGATGGAAGCTGTGGGTGTATTAAGTACTTTCAGCTGAGTAAACCTGCTATCTAGTCCTTCCTCTCTAGCTACTTCCAAGGCTTTCTGTTTAGAAGTTAGATGGTATGAGAGAAGAGGGCTGTTTTTTCTTCAGAACTGGCAGTTTAAAGATACTTTCTTCAATTTACAGTTAAACAGTCCAAAACTTTAGGTCACCTACTACTATTTAGTAAGATAGAATGAGTATAAGACCAAATAATAGTCAATGCTTTGTGTGTTCAGCACACTGCAAGATTTAAATACAGATTTTTATAGCTAACTGATTAAACATGAGCTAAATTAAAACATAATACAAACCAATATTTATATAAAGAATGTAATGTACATCTAGAAAAAACACTAAAAATGCCATCTTTGTGTCACCAGACAAAACAAAAGCATGGCATCACAGTAAGTACAGGCTTGTCACAAATCTACAAATGAGAAACAGCCAGAGTTAAGGAAGAACTAAGATCCAGTCTGTACTCAGCACAGGTATACCTAACCTGGCACTGGGGTACCTGGGAAGAAAAAGAAAAAAAGTAAAGAAAAGAAAAAAAAAAAGGAAGAAACATTACCAAAGTCATTCAATAAAGCCAGCATTACCCTACCAGCAAAATAGATGGATCAAAGAAAAGAAAACCATAGTCCAGTCTCCTCTATACAAACACAGACACAAAAATTGTTAATAAAATTCTTGCAAACCCAACTAAAATAACACATTGAACAGATCATGTGGCAAGTTGGTCTCAATATTCAAAGATGGAAGATTGTTGAAACAAACACAAAAAAACTAAGTGCAGACTACTCAGACTTGATAACCCCTTCCAGCAAGTGGCAGAATACAACAATCAATATCCAATGATCATAAGCTTTTTTTTTTTTTTTTTTTTTTACATAATGATGCACTTGCTGAGAGAAAAAAAATTAGAGTGTTAAATAGGAAGGAAGGAAGGAAGGAAGGAAGGAAGGAAGGAAGGAAGGAAGGACAGAAGGAAGAAAGGAAGGAAGGAAGACAGACAACTATTTTGGGCTGGGCAATAGTGATACAAGCCTTTCAGTCCCAGCACTCAGGAGGCAGAGGTGGTGGAGTTCACTCACACCCAGCTTGACCTACAGAATGAGTTCCAGGACAGCCAGAGCTACACAGAGAAATCCTGTATTTAACCCCCCACACACAAAAAAAAAAAAAACAAGGAAGAGAGGGAAGGAGGGAGGGAGGGAAGGAAGGAGGGACGGAGAGTGGGAGGGAGGGAGGAAGGGTGGAAAGGTGAGGGGAGAGGAACAGGAGGGAGGGGAGAGAAAAGGAAAGAATAAAAAAACAAGGAAATAAGGCCCATGTATCTCACTATGTATAAAATTTACCTCAGAATGGATCAAATGACTTCCTGTGATACTTGAAAACTCTGAAATTGCTAGAGGAAAACATATGAAAAGTGTTCAAAATATAAAAATAAGCAAGAACTTTCTGGAAAGGATTCCAATAGCACAAGAACTAATCTTAAACGTCTATGAGATTATATAAAACTAAAAAGGTTCCTCAGCAGGACAGAAATAGTGGAGTGAGGGAAAGTCTACAATCCTGGGGAAATATTTGGAAGATACACAGTGAACAAAGGAGTAATTTCTAGAATACAGAAAGAACTTCAAAAACTAAACATTAAAAAATATTCTGTCAATACATGGGCAGATGAACTGATACACAGCTGTTAAAAGGAAAAACATAATCTGCAGTCAGGGAAATGTAAAGTCGCTCTGAGAAATCATTTGTCACTTCAAGAATGACAAGCATGGAGGAAAAAATTGACAACATAAATGGGGAAAGAGGGACACATATTTACTGCTGTTGGGGATAAAAACTTATGCAACCAACATGGAAATAAGTATAGTTACCTTTTTTAAAAGTAAAAACAGAACCACACACGACCCAGATACAGCACCCCTGGGTATATTATTGAAAGGCCACAGAGGTACTTGTGCTTCTGTGCTTAGTGCTGTGTTATTTGCCAGGCCTCTGAAAATGAGACCAGACTAGATGGCCTTCAACAAATGAACAGATAAAGAAAACATAGTACATATACACAATGGCAATTTATCTAGCTATGAAAAAAAAAAATGAAATCATGACTTTGGTGGAAATGGATGGAACTGGAAATCATTATTTTAAGACAGACTCCAAAAAACAAACATTGCTTATTTTGTCCCACACAGAGGCTCTAGATTTAAATTTGTATGTATAATATATGAGCATAGAATAAAAGGGTATATTTATAACTGTGGGTGTGTATATGTCATGAAACTAGACACAGGGCCATAAAGAGGAAGGAAAGAGGAAGGGAAGTAATAGAGTGCATGAGTCATAGAGACAGGAGTGAATCTCTTGAGGAAGGAAGGGAGCAGAGACAGCTACCGAGGAGCAGAGGGAAAGAGAATAAATAAGAACAAAGTCTAAGGACAAAAACATGTGGCTATGACAGTTAGTTTTGTATACTAACCTAATTAATAACAAAAAACTATGAATTCTTTCATCCTTATATTGCATTTAAAAAAATCTGAAAAAAAAATTTATTCCCTGTTATCTACCTGAAAGTATTTAATGGAATATAATGAATTAAGTACACACTCCTTCAGCAAGGTTAAAGACAAAATAATAAGGAAAATGAGAAATACAAAATAAAAAGCAAGGTGAAGACTGACATGCAAATAAGAAGAAAAATATGATGAGGTCTCTTCACTGGCTGACTTTGGCCAAGTTTCTAATCTACCATGGAAAAGAAGGATACACACTAGTAAAGAAAATGACATCACACTGTCTGCTTGAGGATCATAAGCAGCTGTTCCACAGAGTCCATCTTGACAAGTCACCAAAATATACAACAGCTTAATAAGATCAGTGGTTTACTCAGAACATGGAGAGAAACATAAAAAATTAGTTTATAGCAAGACAGACTGGCTTCAGACTCAGAGATCTTCCTCCCTAACCTACTGCTGGGGTTAAAGGGGTGTGCCACCACACCAGACTCACAGCAGGGATCTGACAGTGACTGACAACTCTACTCACTATGGCATATTGCTCCCAACTGTGTGACACAGACTGACCTTCTTGAATTGCCATATCAACAGCTAGTGCAGAAGCTGAATGCAGGAGCTTTTGATAATTCTGCGCATTTTGGTCAAATAGCTGTACAAGAAGAGTACACGTCTTTTCATATTCGCATCTGCTGACTGTACACAGCTGCTCCAGCTGCTGGAACACGGTAGCAGTATCATCCAGGGGGTCATCTAAATTATCTCTGAAACACAGAAGACATTCCCTTACAATGTGGTACATTTTAATCACAGCACAGGAACTTTATGTAAAAATGCTACAGTGAATCAAGAAATAAAAGAGAAATGGATTGGAGGGTAAAAAATAAAACCTTATATATGAAGTTGATATGACTGTGCACATAAACATTATCAAAAGACCCACACACACACACACACACACAAAGCTACTGGAACTAAGAAGTGAATTTACCAAGATCATAACAAATGAACTCAAAATATAAAACCAGATGTGTGTTGCTCTACAATGGCACAGAAAATGAAATGGAATACTAAACCACAGTGTCACACAATTTAAGAAGCATGGTAAACTGGGGTGTGAGAGGCATGCACCTGACCTGTAACTTAAGCACAGGAGAACAGAAGGATCAGGAGTTTAAGGCCAACCTCTGTTAGATGTAAATTTAAGCCTAGCTTCGAGTCCATGAGATACTGTTCTCAAAATAATAAATAAAAATAAATAAGAGCATAATACAAAGGTACTAACTAAATCTAATGAAGAATGCTCAAAATCTAAAAGATGAAATTACAAAACTCTAATAAAAGAAACCAAAGAGCTAAACAAAGGAAAGGGCCAATGATCCATGTCTGCGGACCAAGACTTGATGCTGCTAGTCTCAGCTCTCTCCCAAATTAACATAGGGATTCAATAACCTTTCATCAAAATGGGAATTTCCTTGCAGAAATCACAGACTGGGCCAGACAGAGAGCTCAGCCAGCACAGTGATTACTGCAAAGCCAGCAGACCTAACCTTGAAACCTGGAACCCTATGCATAAAGATGGGAAGACAGAAACAACTCCATGAAACCTTCCTCTGACCTGCACACAGGGACTAAACATAGTCTCTCACACTGAATAATTTTTAAATGAAATAAAGAGACTGGCAAACTGATGCAAAATTTAAATAAAGAAAAAAATTAAGTACAATAGCCAAAATACACTCACACCATCTGGTTTCAAAGTTTATTTTATCTATAGTACCTAAAACAGGGCACTAGTGGAAAGATGTGAATTAATAAGAACAGAGTCTCAAAATGGAACCATATACAGGTGGTGGGTTAATTTTTAAAAACAATATGAATGAAATTCAATTAGAAAGGATAGTATGTATCCACAAATAGCACTGGGTAACTAACTGATCCTCCAAAGCAAACATAGTAAGTACAAGAAAAACCTGAATTCCATGTAATATTAACCAAAATACATATATACATATACATATATAATATATAAAATTTGGCTCTTTTCTTGTTCTTTTTTTTTTTTTTTTTTTTTTTTTTGTTTGTTTGTTTGTTTGTTTCTGACACAGTCTTTCTTTGTAACCCAGACTGGTCATCCATGCATTACACAGAGCTTATGATGCTCCTGACTCAGCATCCCAAGTGCTGGTAGTACAAACTTATTTCCACACTCAGAACAAAAATTCAATTCAAATGGATCACACACATTAAGTGTAAATCTTTTTGTTTTGCTTGGTAGTTTTTGTGCTTCTCTGTGTATCCTTGGCCGTCCTAGAACTCACTCTGTAAACCAGATTGGCCTCGAATTCTGAGATCTATCAGCCTCTGACTCCTAAGTACTGGGATTAAAGGTTTGCAAGAATCTTAAAACTATTTAAAAAAAAAAAAAAAACTATGAAAGAGTAAAGAACAGCTTTGACTTTGAATAAGGTAAAAATCCCTTAGACAGGACACCAAATATGACACAAAACAAAAATAATAAGCTGGAGCTCAGTGATTGTGAAGCAGACAATCTGCTAGACTCCAAAAGTCCAAAGGCAAATGACGGGCAGTGAGAAAAGAAACAGTCTCTGTGACTTTAACAAAGACTGATGAACAGAATATACAAACTTCTCAAACAGCAATCTAAGGAAATAACCCAGTTTTAAAAGGGGGCTGGTAATACATATTTTTAAAGTCATTTTCATTTTATTTTATGTGTATGGGTGCTTTGCCTGTGTGTATGTCTGTGTATACCACGTGTGTGCCTGGTGCCAATGGAAGCCAAAAAGAGAGCTTCAGATTCTCCAGGGCTAGAGATAGACAATGGCGATGAGTCGCCATCTAGGTATTGGGAATTGAAGCAGAGTCCTCTGAAAAAGAAGCCAGTGCTCTTAGCCATTCAGCTATTTCTCCAGCACCATGGCAACAGATTTGACAGACACAAAATACAAAATACAAATTAGAACCACAATAAAGTACCACTCCACACCTACTAGACTCACAATAAAACTAAAATGATCATCAACAGCCAGCAAGCAAATGCAGAGCAATTCAAATTTTCATACAATGTGGGTGTAAATACAAATGTTAAGCCACTTTTGAAAATGGCTTGAAGGCTTTTTATAAAGAAAATATATACTTAGCATGCCACCAGGAAACCCTCTTGTGTAGGTATTTTACACAAGAAAAATGGCAACTTATGTTCATATAAAATTGTACACAGGAATGATGTCAGCAGTTTATTTCCATTGCTAAAATGTGATCAACCCAAATATCCATAAACATTCAATGTGTGCAATGATACATTCATAGATGGGATTCTACCCTGTAATAAAAAGGAAGGAACCCCTGATACAACATGGAGGGAATCCAAATTCGTATGCCAAATGAAAGACACCAGACTTCAAAAGCTAATACTGATGGTTCTATCTGTACAATATTCTAGAAGTAGCAAAAATAATAGGAAAACAGATTAGTTAATGACAGAGCCATGTGTTAACTAAAAAGGGACAAAAAGTATCTCCAGGGTGATAGTACCATATTCACTATCATGAGTATGGTGGTGGTTATACAATTGTACATATTTGTCAGAACTCATAAAACTGTACACCAATAAGGGTGAACCTTAATAATTTACTTCAATCTTTTAAAATTCCAAAGTGAGATAGATAAAAATAAAACATCGAATATTTTAATACCTTACAACAATGGCAACAGAGTCCAATCGGGAAGTGATAAAGGCCTTGGTGATTTCAGGTGCATAAGTGTCTAACAAGTGGGGTTCAGCTGATTTCACAAAAGGAACGGATGCCACCATCCTCTGCCACAGAGTGAGTAAGTAATGAACACTGTTGGGGGCAAATTCCCAATGCTACAAAGAAACACAGCAAATGTTATTTAAAGTAACATTATAGCTTTGTAGACTAAAAATCATAGAGTAAAATTACTATGGATACAATTAATTGGGTTTTTGTTGTTCTTGTTCTAGTTTGTGTTTTACTATTTTGAACAAGGACTTCCTGTAGCTTAGGCTAGCCTTGAATTCATTATATTTCTGAGAGGACCTTTAACTTCTGATTCACCTAGCTCCACATTCTGAGTGCTGCTCTTATTAGATGCACTACTGTACCCAATTTACACGGTGGCAGGGCTAGAACCTGGGGCTCTGGAGATGTCAGGCAAGCATTCTATCAGCTGAGTGACATCTCCAGCCCTAAGAAAATCAACTTTTTTTCTGACTACATAACTAAGGACCGCACAAATTTTATGAATCAAGAAGTACTCAAAAACTAACATCTCTCACTATGCCACAATAATAACTACAAAAATGTTAACACAGTTCCTTAAGATCTATTCCACAAATATTTTTCAAGAGCTGAAATCAAGTGGAAACAGAGCTTCCCATCCATTTACAAAGGGATTTTCCCATAATACAATCTATAAAAGTATTCTTTTATTTCTTTACATAAATTTGACTACAGATTCTCATTACTCTTCAGTTTCTAGTCATTTAAGCAGAATACCCATTTTTATTATTCTATGTGTTACAACAGCTATTTTATCTAAAAACTTTGCAAAGAATAAGTCTAAGATATTCAAGTAAGAAGGAAAAAAAAAAAAAAAAACCACCTCCACCAAACCTTTACCAAGGAATTGTTTTTAAAATTATAGGTTAACCTCGATTATACATTTGTACTTACCTGTAGGCTAGTAATAGTAAAATTAGCAATCAATCCAATAACCTCAGCATATTCCTTCACCAAAACTAATTCTCCCAGCTGGTAGTTGGTCTTTAAACGAGCCAAAAATCGACAAAATTCATGATAATTACCAGGATCAGACAAACCCTAAAGATACAAAAGAAAGGCTCTTCAAAGAAATTGATAAAAAATCCCAAAGTATTTTTATTAAGACCCCTGGTTTTCATGAGTACTTATTTTGTGGCAGCTGGGTAGATAACAATATCAGAAAACAAGTGAGACGGGATAAGTTTAGTGTTAATTGTCAATTAACAGTAAGGAATCCAAAGTAGAGCTTTTAGAAGCAGCACTGTACCAAGATGACTAAAATAAAATGTCTGAGAACTTACTACACAAAAAGTCAGTGTGGTGGGTGTGGTGTGGTGTGTGTTGTGTGGTATCTTAGTGTAATGTGTGTGAGTGTATATCACACACGTGCACAAACACAGAAAATTCTTTGAATTCAATACTTATTGACTATCTATAGGTTCTATGGCTCCAAATTAATTTCTAATTAATTTCTAAATGATAAGACATTCAAACAAATTACTGCAGTGAAGGGAACAAAGCTTGGGGCTTTTAGAAGGAAAATTAAAAAGAACAGACCAAGGAAGGACTTGAATACAGAATGTTATTTCCATATTTAAACACTTTGCAGTATAACTGGCATATAATCAAATTTAAAAAGGAATTGGTTGAATACGTAAAGAGGCTAAAGAATTTTTACTAATAGAGGCTCCATGAAAGAAAAATGTTCTCTATTATCTAGGACAAATTCCAAAAATACAACTTACAACAACTTACACACTTGTGTATTAATTATACCACTGTATAAAAAATTACCAGATTGACTTTTACAGTGAAATACCACCATGAGAAAGAAAATAGCTTAAGAGAGATATCTGACATTGGCCGAGTATCTCCCACAATTCAGCTCATGACAGCAAGTTATACAAATAACTTATGATTTTACAATAAAATTTCACCTATCAGCAAAATTGAGTAAATATGAGACCTGAACTAACATTGAAAAGTTAAATACAGGGGATTGGAGAGATGGCTCTGCAGTTAAGAGCACTGACTGTTCTTCCAGAGGACCTGGGTTCAATTTCCAGCACCCACAGGGTGGCTCACAACTGTCTGTAGCCTCCAGTTCCAGGGACCCAACACCCTCACACAGACATACATATAGGCAGAACACCAATGAACATAACATAAAAATAAATTAAAAACAACAAAAAAAGAAAAACTACATACAAATGTATATGCTGTAGATATTCAACCTGGAAGTCCTGGGGTGTAGAAAACATGGCCAAGAGGTGTCTGAGTTGCACATGATCAAGATACATTTTATACACATATGGAATTGTTAGAGTAAATAAAAATATTGTAAAAAATTAAAATTAAAAAAAAATCTCACAGGGTATGATGGCACACACCTTTGATCCCAGCATTCAGGAGGCCGGGGCAGGCTGATCTCTTGAGTTTGTGGCCAGCCTGGTCTACAGAGATCCAGGATGCCACAAGGCTACATAGAGAAACCCTGTCTTGAAAAAAAAAAATTCTTCAATAGCTGGAAAAAATTAAAATGCCTCTGTAGAATGATAATACTTTACTTCTATACAAAGATATCTGATGCTCCCCAAATGGCCAGTAAGCAAGAAGCTTAGATAAAGCTCTTTAAGCTACCATTTAAGCTTTTACAGTCTGTGGTTTAATTACAAATGCTTTAAGCCAGAAAAAACAAATTAAAAGTGATATAATTACTTGCTAGACATTCCAAACCTCTCATGAATGCCTCTGCAAGTGTGTGCTGACACCAAAGCTCAGAAGCTCATGCGGTCTACTTTCAAAGCTACAAACTGAGGTGTCCACAAGAGGGCAAAAGACACTATTTCATAATTCAACTTCAATATTAACATTAAATTTAAGTTGTCTCCTACTTCAAAAACACATATATCACTTCAGCAGTTTAACTAGTACAAAGAAATAAAGCAATGATAACAAGACCTCTATTCATATTCACTTAAAAGAACAAACCAAAGAGAGGGAAGGAACACCAAGTCTACAATAGAAATACTGTAATTAAAAAAAATAATAACAATAGCAAATGAGACCTCAGGAAGATGAATGTAATATTATTTTCTTCCAGAAACACAATAAATTACAAAATGTATTATGTAAAAATGAGCAGAAATAAAATTTCTTTATGTTAAATATTAATTAAATTATTTCATAAATACCTGGGGGTTTTCAAGTATCCTTTTTACTCCTTTAATTAAGTTACCAAGGTACTTGGCACGTTCAGGACTGCTAAATAAGGATCTTCTTGTAGAAGCAAACTGAACTAAGCATGAAAGTGCCTAAAAAAAAGAACAAAAATTCTTTTCATTTCAATTTTAAATGTAGCTCTGTCCACTTAACACCACTCACAAGCCCCTGCCCCATACTAAAACAGCACTTGAAGGTATTCCTTGGATTTATTTTTTAAAATATTTCCTCAGTTTCCTCTGCTTGGATACTGCATTTTTCTCTGACTTTCAACCCCCTGGCATTTTTGTTTTAGTTCTCGACTTGCATTTTACAAAAGAGGGGGCTTCATGGGCTGGGAGATGGCTCTTGGGTGACAGCACTTGCGTGCAAACCTGAATACAAAGCTGGACATAGCCACACACCTGTAATGTCAGTGTTGGGGGACAGACCCCAGCAGCTTGCTGGCTGCCATTCCAGCCAAAAGAGAAAGGAAGTTTCTGGTTCAAGATCCTGTCCCAGGAGTCTAAGATTAGCAACTATACAGAAAGACATCTTCTGGCTTCCACATGCTGATCCATGACTGCACAGACATACACACACATGCATACAAGCATGTACTCCACATACACAAAAAGAAATTTTAAGAAGTAATAAAGGAGTGTTTCATTATGACACTCTCATGGGGGGGTGCAATACACGTGTTCTTGTTTGCACTCTATTCTACTCATCCTCTTGCTGGGTACCTGGATTCCTCGATTCCTTGTTCTAATTTTGTGAGACACATAGTCTATATTCTCGTATTTTTTTTATATGCCAACCTGCCAAAACAGGCACTAGACTTAGGTACATTCAGAAGGTTCCTGACTGCTTAAGACACCCATTCTGTCTGTGAACCATGAACTAGGTGTTCTATCAGGAATAAATGGTCTTGAAGTTAAGTTACAGAGTATTATAAATTATATATTATGGATCCTGCAAAAGAGGGGGGGGGAAAAAACCTTAACTGAATCAGGCATATAACACACTTATTTGGTTATGACATATATCCTACAGCATTCACGAGTATCTTACAGGGCTGGGAAATGCTGCTGGAAGAGTTAGTAACTTTCTGAAAGAGGATTCCTAAGAAGTTATATGTAAACCTAGTTATCTTCCTACGTTTCCAGGCCATTTCATTACTTAGGTTCCTACCTCCAACAACACTTACTGCAGTCAGTCTTCATATTAACTTAAAGGACAAACTGTCTCTGCATATTTTAACTGGGTTAACATATTTACTTGCCCACTTTAAAAAAAAAACTACCATTAGCTGCCAATATTAAAGTATATCTAATAGGAGATTTCATACAAAATGTCTAGTTCTCGCAATAAGGATGAATTTAAGAACAAACATGGAATCTTTCTGTTTGGGCCATGCTCTAGTTTCCCACTGCCTTTACTGTTAAAAAACAAAAACTGCCCTCCTTAGGTAAACTCTGATGCACAGCACTGGGAACCATCAATGTATTAAAAGCAAACACCAGTGCATAGTTCAGAGTATAAAAAGACCTGAGCTTTAATCTCAGTGCCAATACCTATTCTGCTGCCCTGGGGAAAGTCAATTAGTCACTCTGGGTCTGTTTTTGGTTTTTCAGGTCAACTTAGCAAGGATAGTGTTATTAATCTTGCATAGTTATTGTGAGGATGAAGTATGATACATACCACATACAGGGCATCATGCTACTTATCTCAAAGCAGATGTTTTCTTTTACATTTTTTAATCACAAGTACTTTTTTGTTTTATACTAAAACAATCATATGACTTCATGCTTTCTTAACTAAAAGCAATTTTCCTAGTTGAAAGACAAAAGGATGAAGCACAGCCACAGATAAGCACCCTATGAAACTCAGATTAAAATCTTAAACTAGAGATTCAAGAACAGACTTGTTGGATTAGAGATGAAGCTCAATATTAGAGCACTTGGCAACACATTCTTCATTTTACATACTTAAACAAATACACTTTAAATCTTGAACATTTTTCCAGAGACACAATTCTCCACTTTCTAGTAGCTTAGATATTTTTATTAAACTTACTTTTTTCCAACATTGCTAGATCTTTAAACTCAACAAAGATAATGCTCATAGTCTCAAAAGTTCTATGTAACAAGGAGAATTTCAAAATAAAATCGAGCATGCAGGAGGGATGAGCACAAAATCAGGTAAGTGGATCATCTTTGTTTCCCTCAAAGTTTCTGATGGAGACTAGCCAATTAGAAGAAGGAAGGTCCTAATAGCATGCGAGATTCAAGTGAGGTGAATACTGATTAGGGAGTAAGATACAGGTAGAGGTTGGCAGACTATCCTGGCTATGGCAGGAGCAAAGTAAGTTATGGTTCTGAGCTTAATCACAAAGTGGAATGGGCAGATAAGAAATTCTGATGAGTAATATAACAAAATACATTCAGAAATGAAAGAACTGCTTGAGAAACATAAGTCAATTAAGCGCATAAGAATTTATGAAGTGAATATGCATTACCCTTACTTCATATCTAAAGACTCATAGGTATGAGGCTGAGTTTGCCACTGAGGAGGCTGAGGATGAAAAGACAAATTTGAAGGCAGCATGACCTTGTCCAAAAGACAAAAACAGAAGTAGACATGCAGCCCAGTTACCACACTAACATCGAAGGTGTGGAACCCTAGGTTCAATTTCCCAGTAGTGCACAACAATAACAAACGATCATGCGTATTTCATCTTTAAAGAATAATGAATGACTTGTACTTACTAACTGAGACAGTAGAGGTGGAAGCGAGTGATACAAACTGAAGAAAAGATCCAATGTTTCTGGGTCCAGGAAAACTGGAAAAAAGACAACTTTTCTAACACCATTACTTTCACTAAAACACCACCAGAGTAAGAAGGTCAACACCTCTACATATAGTGTGGCCACTTGTTGCAAAGCTATCAATTTATTCTTGACTTTTCAAGACAGGGTTTCTCTGTGTTGCCCTGGCTGTCCTGTATCTTGCTTTATAAACCAGGCTGGCCTCTCTCCTCAGTGTTAGAGTTAAAGATGTGCACCATCACTGCCCAGTGTGACTTATTTTCATTTCTCATGCACAGCAAGCCTTTTTTCTGGGACACGAATATGAGGCCTACTGCATATCTTTTCACTCATCATTCTGGGTATCTGGTGCAACTTTTGATTCACAAACTCATCCTTGAATGTTAAGAACATTTCTGGGTTTTCAAATTTCCTTCTGTTTTTCTCCTGTTCTCTCTTTCTAGAATTTTCAAGAGTTAAATCCCAACCTCCTGGTTTCACCTTCTCATTTCCTCACATTTTTTTCTCTGTCAAATATCTTACTTTTTCATTCTACTTTGTAAACTTCATTAACTTTCTCTTCCAAGTTGTTTTATTAAATTGTTAAATTATATGGCAAAAGTTCATTCTTGTCCCAGGAATGCTTTACCTTTTTCTATCTCTTGGGACATTAATAGTATGCTTTGAAAGTTTATTTCTATTCTTCATCTTATATATTAATTCTCCAACTTTTTAAAAAATTAAACTTTCTAAGATAATAAAGTTTCACATTATTATATAGTACTACAGTAATTACACACTAATGCAGCAGACCTATGCCATGTTTTACCCGCTTTTCCACACTGATGATCACTTGTTTAAAAAAAAAAAAAAACAACACTACAACATCACAGCCAGGGAGCCCTTCTAGTTTAACTTTTCAAGGAACACAGCTGTGGAGGGAAATGTTCAACTACAGAGGCAAAGGCAACCTGTCTCCCTGATGTACAGGTGGTAATGATCCAACTGAGACTAAAGCCTCCTTAACAAAGGGCCCCCAGCCCCTGCCCTGATGCACCCTAGCTACACTGTCTGCCCCAAGGGGAAGACCTTGTTTTCTTCTTGGCACCTCCCTCCTCCCACCCCATCCCCTCCGGCCCTGAAATTAAGTCACAACTCTGCTCTGTTCAATCGCCTATTTCTGATTTGTTCACCTTTAATTCTGAAAAATAGTAACTGTTAGATCCTTTCCCAAACAAAAATCTTAACATTCCCCCACAAGTCTATTTTCTACTGTTTAAATCAAAATATAGCAGTTATGAGCTACACAAAGCATTTGAATATTGAGTATTAGTAGCTAGTCAGAATTAAAATTCCCCTATATAGCTATTAGACCACTTTTAAAAAAGCAGAGCTAACAATATATGATCAGGTCAACTGTGTTGCTTAATTCTGCACCATGTATGTTGACTATCTCTCATGTTAAACATTTCTCTTTTCTTACTTGTTCTCCAAGTTGTTGGAATCTGCACTGTGCATAGATCATCTGCAGATTCGTCTGCTGAACTTCCAATAAAGTCAAAACTTAGGCAGCTGAGGACCAGTTTTAAGACTTGCATCACCAGATTTTGTTGATCTTGATCCTGAAGATTTAAAGGTTTGGCCAGCACCTTCAAATTAGAAATAAAACATTATGACTAAATGAATTTCAACTTCATAAATTTAAATACTTCATCAATGTGAAATGAAAATTTGTAAAAATCTTTGTCTACAAATTTCTACAACAGCAACTACTTTCAAAATTCACCTTGTAAAATGAGGGAAAAAATACACTTAACTACATATTGTAGATTGCCTTCTAAATTTCTAAGAGGTAACCTAGGCCAGGTAGAGTGGCATACATTTTAATCCTAGTATGTGGTAGGCAGAAGCAGGCAGGACTCTGTGAGTTCATAGCTAGCCTGATCTACACAATGAGTCCAGGCAAGCCAGGGCTGCATAGTAATACTGTGCCTCAAAAGAAAAAAAAAACAATTAAATGAAGTTTTAGAACAAATACTTTACATAGCACAACTATACAAAGAAAGCACAGAATTCACTATTTTAAACAGTGCTGAGAATTAACTTTCTTCAAGAAAATATGGGACAACTTCTTGTGTAAATGAGATGCATTCAACTAACAAAGGGCATATGAATGTTAGGTATAGGTTGGGTATAAGACACCAGCTTCTCGAGTCCAATGCTGATGTCTTTTGATAAGGTCCATTCCTCCCACACAACCTGAAAAGTATGTCCTGAACATCATGATATATTTGCAGAGAACCTAGACTTCTCCAAGAATAATACAAAGAAAAATCAGACAGGGAGATAAGAATATACATGAAACAAGATTAACCATGAGTGGTTACTAAGTCAGTTGATAAGTTCAAGACTACCAACTATACTATTTTATCTACCTTTGTAAATAATATTTTGCCACAGTACAAGAATATTTTTAAAATAATAACCATTAAATCAGACCTACTACAGTGATTATCAATGCTAACATACAAGTTAAACAATTTTAATCCAAAAATTAAAATGTGAAATGACCTGCAAATCTAAACTTCTTGAGCACTCAAGTTTTGAATTTTGGTAAATTTCAAATTTCAGATTTTGAAATTTTTCAACTGGTAAAGTCTATACAAATATCCTAAAATTCAAAACACTCTAAAATCTGAACACTTCTGGTCCCCAATATTTACAAAGAACTCAGCCTATAACAGAGAAAGAACTGAATGAACAGGAAGCAGAGCTTAATGAGGTATTCTAGAAAACGCTTTACAAGATCAAATAAACAAACTTGAGTAGTAAGACAGAATCCTTCATCATACAACAGAGCCTAATATAATTATGAAAGTCATGCATGTTCCACCATGCACTAAGAAACAGTAGGAAGTTTCTATTTCCCAAAGAAACTATTAAAATAATTCTGGGAAAGTTATGAAAAAATAGAAAACTGTATTCCCATCAATACATGGGTAGGCAAATAAAGACATTCTCAATGAACCTGCCCAATTAAAATTCTATAGCAGGAAGGTTAAAAACTACTATTATTTAAACTCAAACACTGAATTCTCTATGGATTTCACCTTCCATGCCCAGGGAGTAAAATTTATACAGATTCACTATATTTAAGAATGACCACAACAAGTCTTTTAAAGGCAGTATCAGAGGGAAACAATCCACTTGAAATTCATTCAAAGCATTTAATTCAAAATTAAGATTCGCATACTACTCCAGCTAGGCAGCTGAGTTATCAACTGACTTACCTGTTTCAGGAGAGAACATGCTAGCACTAAAATGTCTTTTAGAGAAGTATCACGGAATGAGGTAGCTACTTTCCTATGTTTTGATGAAGGTCTGGAATAATCAACCTAAAAAGGTCAAGATGAATTAGTTTAATCAAACTTAAAGAAAAATAAGGCAAACATGTAACTATGTAACATAATGACACTAGTAATCAGAGAATCATAAATACAGAGCTTATAAAAGATTTTGAAGGTAACCTGCTTGAAATTATTCACTGACAGAGACAGAGTTAGAACCCGCCCATAAACTATCAGGCTATCCACAATACTTTCAGTGCCAATATAATAAAATAATACAGATAACAAAAGTAACAGACACTGAGATCATAAATCCTGAACCCTGCCCTACAGTGTATATAATATAGTTTCCCTAACTCTCAAATGCTACCAACAAAAGGAGAAACCTCTAAACACTCTTCAAATTCTAATAATGTAAACCAGCTAAATCAATCAGTTACAGACACGTTTTGTATGAAAGTATTTTTATGTGTCATTGACTTATGCCACTGAAATTTTGAAAACAAAAGTAGAAATGATACTCAAGAATTTGATTATGTACATAACATGGCATCTCTGAATATTTTACTAGCTAACAGAAATTATTTTTTTAAGAACAAATTATTAAGACTACCTCTTGCACCCATAACCTAAAATGTAAAAATGGTTTATGCAGTGGTACTGGGGCTGGGAACACCTGCTTAGCACATCTCCAGCAACTGGCTCCTCTCCCCAACAAATATAGATATTATAAGAATTATATAAATATTTCATTTATGCTATGCGTTCTGACAGCTCAATGATCATGAACACTTGTAGCCTAAAGTTATTGAAGATTTACTATTTATCTCTTTTGCTATTGGAAGACAAAAGGAAGCCATTTGTCCTCTACTGTTTAAAGAATTAAAAAAAAAAAAGTGAGCTAAGAACTTATTATCTGATACTTGTTAAACTCCAGGGTACAATTCAGACTACCCCTAAATACTACATTTACATATAAAATAGTAAACATAAATATCCAAGGTACTACAGAAAGTCATTAGTGAATGCTACAGCCAATGTATGATTTGAATTAATTAACATTTGCATTCTGCTCGAAATCAAAAATCTCTCTGTGTGTATGATGAAACTGGAGTACATCACTTTGGCCCATCTCGCTAGCCAGCTAGCTCAGGAGAGTTCTTGTTTCTGCATCCCATGCACTGGAATTACAGGCAGACTGCCATACCCAGGAAGCTCTGACATGAGTTCTGGGAATGCAAACTGGTTCTCATGTTCGCATGTCATGTGCTTTACCTGTTGAGTCATATCCCCAACCTTCCTTTACTAAATCAGACTTTCAAGTTCTTCTCATGCTAAAAACAACATCAAAACATTTCTTTTCATAAAAATCAGTAAGAGCAGATAGCATCACAAGTCCTGTTTAGAAAGTATTCTTAACATATTCCTCAAACCAACTTTTAAAATGAATACTGTCCTTTATCACAACTGTAACATGAAGAGAAGAAAGTTAAGTTTATGGAGTGCCCTCTATATACTAGGTGCTATGCTGATGGTTTATCTGCTCTTTTATTGCTTGTTTGTTTGTTTGTTTAGGGTTTTTCTTTTGTTTTTTGTTTTGTTTTGTTTTTTGAGACAGGGTTTTTCTGTGTAGCCCTGGAACTTGCTCTGTAGAGCAGGCTGGCCTTGGACTCAAGAGATCCACCTGCCGCTGCCTCTGCCTCTGCCTTCCAAGGACTAGAATTAAAGGTGTGCACCAATCACCTCCCAGCTAATTTACTGGTTTTTAGTAAGACCTATATCATTATCTCTCTTCAAAGAAAACATAGAGGGTTTTTAAAAAAAAAATTAAGAAATTTGTGGGTAGGCAGAAAGGGGGAATAGATCCGGTAAGAGTTGAGGGAAGAATGAACATGATCAAAACACATTGTAAAAAACTCTCAACTCTGAAAAAAAGAGAAATTTGTACAAAGCACTTGTCATAGATCTAAGACAAACCTGCCTTCACCTGTGCTTTTCTCAAGGCCTGCATGCTTACTCTAATCAAGGCACACATGTAGATACTATGTTTTGAGAGATTGTACAACCATTTCATGTTGTACATGTATGCCCCTACTGTATGGGCATATGTATTTCACTTTGATGACTATATAACAAATATAACCAAGGAACAGCAGAATCTGCTTCTAAAAATGTGGGATAACAGTTACAATCCTCTTTTACTTTTAAGGAAAATCAAGTTTAGATCTTTTTTTTTTTTTTAATTGCATTCATACTTATAGACAGGGCATGATGGTGAATACCTTTAATCCCAGTACTCAGGAGGCACAGACAGGCAGAGAGTTCTTTGAGTTCAAGGCCAGGCTATACAGGAAGTTCTAGGCCAGCCAGCACTACTACATTGTGAAACCCTGTCTCAGAACAAACAAACAAACAAAAACAGATCTACCAACCACACGGTTTACTCAGAACATTTCTGAGCATCTTATAACACTGGACTTTCCTTGTATGAATCTGATCACCTCCACAAATGCTAGTTAAATAGAAAAATGACTCGGCAAAATCTTTCTCCATAGGAAATACATTTTTCCAATTTATAAAGCAAAAATCACACTTTAAAGCTTGGAGGGAGGTAGCATTGTTCTGGGGATACAAGAGATCCTCCTGCTTCTGCCTCCCAGCTCTTGGATCACAGCTTGTGCTATGGTGCCTGGAATGGCACTCTGCTAAAAAAAGAGAGTGGCTTTTATTATAGGATAACCTGGAACATCTTGTACCAGAGGAACAAAAGTGGTCAGGCATAGTGAAATATGCCTAAGATCCCAGTGCTTGAGAGGGGAAGGATCAAGAGTTCAAGGTCACTTCCTGCTACAAAGCAAATGTGAGATCAGCCTGCTACAAAAAAAGGGACTGAAGGGAAAACAAAAAGCTGGATGAACACCTTTAATTCCAGCATTCAGAGGTAGGAGGTGGATCTCTTGAATTTGAGAGTTTAAAGCCATCCTGGTCTACAAAGAGAGTTCCAGGACAGCTAGGGCTACACAGAGAAATCCTGTCTTGAAAAACAAAACAAACCAAAAAAAAAAAAAAAAAAAAAAAAAATCAAAGAATGGTGAGGAATGTTAAATGGATGCAAAAGCCAACTTGAAAAATTTCTTACTGGTGAATTATAATCTATTAAATACAATTAGAAATCTATATTAACAATTTAAGCTCTGTGAGACATAGGGTGTTTTCAGAGGTGTAAAGTACCTCTCCACAAAATATGTATTAATTACAAAGAGAAAAAGTATAAGGAAGCTGGGTACTGAACATGTTTCATTAAGAAATCAAAGTGAGCATTTATTAGACAACTTAAACTATATGCTTCCTGGCAAGACACAACAAGGCCTCAGCATCATTGCTGATATTCCTGATAAATAAATGCAATCTGGATTTAATGCTGAGGAAACACTGGAAAATCTTAAAAGATGTTTTACAAAACAACTAGTTTGTAATCTTCATGTCTCAAGTTGTGTGCTGAATAGTTTTATGTCAACTGGACACAAACTAGAGTTAGCTGAAATAAGGGAACCTTAACAATAAAATGCCTCCGTAAGATCTGACCATAAGGCATTTTCTAATTAGTGAGTGATGAGAGAGAGCCCAGCCCATTGTGAGAGGTACTGCCCCTGGGCTGGTGGTCCTGGATTCTGTAAGAAAGCAAGCTAATCAAGCCATGAGGCCCTGTGGGGCCTCTGTATCAGCTCCTGCCTCCATGTTCCTCTACTGCATTTGATGATAAACTGTGATATGGAACTGGTGCTTTTGGTCATGGTGTTATATCATAGCAACAGTAACCTAACTAAGACAGGCTATAAAGTGGATAGAAGAATAACTCTCCCAGACTGCAGAACCCTAATACAACATGAGAAGGAAACATTAGGCATGATTCTAAGCAGGAATCTGCTCTAGGGACATGCTGGGGCTGAATAAAGAAACAGAACTGAATAGCAATGTGTCACTTTTTAAAAATTCAATGGGGGTATCATGTATCATGATAATGTAGAAGAAACAATGTCCTTGTAGAAGGAAAGGTGAGGTATTCCCTGGGGCTGTGGGAATATGGGGGGGGGGGTGTGACGGGCATCATGTTGTAAATTTATCATCAAGGGGTCAAGAAAGAACTTTGTCAGGCTCTCCAAACATTACTGGAAGTTTTGTATATTTTAAAAGATTACTTAGTTGCTCTCCAAGACACATTTTAATTAGAATCCACATTACCAGTAGGGCAAGGTGTAAGACTTTAATCACAGCACTCAGAATGCAGAGGTTGGCAGCCTGATATACAGAGTTCCAGAACAGGCAGGGCTGTTACACAGAGAAACCCTGCCTCAAAAATCCACCAAAAAGAAAAATAAAACAAAGCAAAACAAAAACAAACAAAAAAATCCCCACATTATCAGTTACTGAGAAACTAAGGAATTAGGACGGAAAGCGAACTGAAGAAACCTCAGAAACCTGCCTTTCAGGGTACCTTATCTTGCTACTTGTAAAGTGAGAAATGAATCAATCAGTCTTAAGGTTAGCAACTACAAAAGCTGGGTGCCTATGGTTACTATACTAGTCTTTCACTTTTATAAAGTAAATTTATGAAAACATAAATTATTTTTAACTTTTAAAAGAGAGCTCCTGTTCTTTAAACTCATTCTGAGTCCCTGTCATCATATACCTGCCAACAAAATAGCTATTCCTGAAATGGAAAGAAACACTGACAATCTTCACATACTCTGTGAGCAAAGCAAAAATGGATAGACATGGAAACTAAGGTTATTTTAAAATGTGGAAATTCTATAAAATTTGTTTTAATTCATCACTGAACAGTAATCAAATTGATTATTTCAATTGTAAAATACTGTGACTCAAAGGGAGTTAACAAATGGACAGATGCCAGCTCTTTTTATATACACATTCACTTTCCATACATACAATTACTACTCAGGTGGATGACAATCCCCTTTATAAAATTATTCCATGTACAACACAACTTCTGTTTTTGTCCTATTGAAAACCACGCTGACAGTAAAGGGAAACAGGAACAGGTGACATATCCTCAGCTGCGGGCTTAAAAAGCCCTGTTTGGAGAGGTGTAGCTTCTGAAAATGCTCCCGTATGGGGGGGGGTGAAAATTCAAATCAGAAAGTGACTAAGTGCCAAGGTCTGTCCCTGGATGAGTCCTGCCATTTACCCATGGTTAAGAATCAATCTTCTAAACCATTTTCCCTTTATTTCTAAATGCATAAAAGTTTTTTGTCATACAATTCATTTTTTATGGTTAGTATATCTACACAAATGAAATGACAAATTTCTAAGTACCCACGGAGCAAGTACTATGTTCTATTTCCCATTATTTTTATTCTGTGTATTTTACTATGGTTGTGATTTTTAGTGAAAGTATTTTAACTTAATTTTTCAACTATTAAAACAAATACACAAAAAGATGATTAGCTAAGAGTTTCATGCTACAAAACAACTATATGTTTTGTTACAAAAGAAAGTACCAAAGAAACAACATTACCCAAGCCATCTCCATGTCCTATTCCATGGAAAAGCTTACCAGGTTCATCTCCTGAGTCAACTCAGAAAGGATAATGACTCCTATTATGCAGTGTTCCACAGTACCCTTTGGAAAAACAACCAAGGAGACATGATTAGTTCTTAACCTCTAAAAATTAAATGCCAAAGTATCACATTTGCCGACTAACAGCCCTTGAAAGTATTAAAAAAAAAAAAAAGTATTGTTATTTCTACTAAAAGAATTTTGAACTCATTTTTGAAGAACATAATTCATTACATAGAGTTAAGGAAAAAATGAATACCTACCTTAGAAACACATACCACTGTATACAATGTTTCCCAACATTTACAACTCATAACAAACTAAGCTTCAAATAACATTTAATTTAGAAATTTTTCTACAATCTTAAGAATGGGGAAAAATAGTTTTTGTTCTAGAAATTTGCTTGAAGCCTACTGTGATAGCTGTACTCAATAATTAATAAGTAGCTTAGAAACTAATTTAAATCTCTTGATCTAATATCAGAAAAGATCACTTAGGCTCTTTTAATATTACCAAACAGTGCACGTGTACGGAGTCGTTAGGTGCCTTAATGAAGACATCATCTAGAGTATCCAATGTAGCAAAGTAAATATATGACTATCAATATGGTATAGTTTCCATGATGTTTCTAATTAGCTTCCAATTTAATTGCAAAACTTCCTTCAATTCGAATTTCATGTGCATATTACTAACAAATTACCCTATTACAAAATCATATTGGAAAGCATGGAAATAATGTAGCATCAAATTATAGTGCAGTAATACAAAAGTATGCACAGATGTGCTTTCTATAGCTTCATTTCACAGTTGGTCATCCCTCTAACTTGCACAGAAACACATCAACACTGAATTCTAGGTATAATTAAGTTCTTATTATCTCAGAACCACCAAAGATCAACTCTGGGAACATCAAACAATGCATTTTAATTCTTTGTGGACCTCCTAATCTCCTGTTCACTGAATCATGGCTGCTATGTGTATATTAGCTCAATAAAGTTACATAGTGTGGCTCTCTAACCAACTGACAGTCTGAAAACTTATCTTTCATTTAAAACACCTGGAATAACAGGGGTTTGTGCTCCAGCTTTTACATGGGTTCCAGGGATTCAAACCCTGATCATCAAACTTGGCACAGCAAGCACTTTTACCACTGAACCATCTCTCTGGCCCAAGAACTCTTAAAGTTGACACTAACTAATGCTAAGTGCTGTGCAATTAAAAATAACACAAGTATGAAAAACATGTATCAGTAAATAGCTAATTATTTTAAGAATGAAGCTAATAGGAACCAAGGACAGATCCCTGGTTTGTTTATTGTCTCCAACCCTGTAATTACCATGTGGAATAGGACGTGAACAATCTCCTAGTAGTTCCTGTTCTTTCTTTCATATACTCTAAGTATCTGAACTGGTGTAAATCGGGTATGAAATGTATGATTTACCTATTACTTATATTTACATCATGTGCTATGATTTAGTGATTCACTTGAAAACATTCCTCAGAAAAATATTATAGTTGATGTAGTGTGGGATAAAAAGGTGTCAAAAGACTTGTCAGAGAACCAGTAATGCTTTACTAAATTGCAGTTTTTTTTTTCATTTGTACAATGAAATCCACTTCCTAGGACTCTTATGAGAACTAGGTGATTATTATTATAAGCAAGGTGGTGGTAACACTCCTTTATACCCAGTACTCAAAAGGTAGAAGCAAATGGATCTCTGAGTTTGGGGCCAGCCTGTTTTACAGAGTGAGTTCCAGGGCAGTCAAGGCTACACAGAGAAACCCCAAAAAGCATTATATAGACAGACATAGACGAGTGTGTGTGTGTGTGTGTGTGTGTGTGTGTGTGTGTATTGCTTATATATGAATACACAAACATGTTATAAATAGTACATTTTTAATTTAGAAACAATGATTGTTTTCATTCTTCAGGTATAGCATGATTTTTAACTGACAACAAATAATGAATGTTCCAAATGACAAATAATAAATGAAAATGGTACTACAAAGAAAATCCAGAAGCTCTAAGTAGTATTTTAAACAACCAAAGCAAGTAGTAACACTGTAATGGGTAACAACCAGTGCCTTCTTACCTGAAGGAATCTCTTCACATCAGCAATAATGTCTCTGAAAATAAACTCGTCTTTCTGAACTTCAAACCACCCCAGCTTAGTGAGTTTAGCAATGACTTGAATAAGAGCTTGAATGACAAAGGGAGCCAGCTTAGGTTGTGATGCCACATAATTCAGAATGTAGTTTCCTATAAAGACAGTATCAGTGACCACTTGGACTTCTGAGAAACATAATGTGAAACTTGTGAAGGAAAGAAAAGGGAGGCAATGACATGCTCTTTGATAAACGAGCTGATCCCTATCTTCAAAATGTGTACTTATTATACAGTAGATGCTATAAAATTTCTTTGAAAAACATGAACTTGTTCCTCTACGTTCTAAATCTTGGGGTAATTTTAGTAGGATATGATTGTCGTTTTTCTACTTGTAGATGTAACATGCAAAATCCTGATAGGTAAAGGCAGAAAACTCCAAGACAAATGAACCAAGCTGTTTAAGTGGCACAAAAATATATAGGTAGTACAATATAATAAAACACAAGAATGCATATGTCTCGGATATCTCCTAATCACTATATCCATCCTTATCTGGCACTATAATTTTCCATCCTATCATCACTTTACAGGACCTCACAAACTGCAACTTTAATGAGTCCTACAAACTTCACATCTTTTCAAGACAAAAGTGCACATTTGCTGTATCTTGAAGGTGTTGCTAAATCACTTGATCTGCACAACTCTATCAAACATTTCTTAGAATTCTATCCAAAAACAAAACAAAACAAACAAACAAAAAAACCAATCTCACAAAATTGTTCCCATAATCTCCCTTGTCTCATAAGCCCTGTGTGGCATTGTGTAGCAGATCACTCTTAGAAACTCATATACCATGTTACAGAGGAACTGAGTAGGCCAGGATGGGAACATGGCTCAGTGATAGAGTGCTTGCCTCACTTGCAGGAGGCAGGGTACTTAGTCGCCAATAGCTTGAAACAATTAAATAAATAAACAAATGCTTATTGTGAAGCTAAAGTCTATAATCCTTTTTTTAAAAACCTGATCTTAGTTAAGGGACATAAAGATGTAGTAGCTTGTGATAGTGACAGTCAGTACACAAAGTATTTTTTTTTTAAAGCATGAAAACAAAGTACAAAAGAGTTAACACAGCAAAGTCAACCACAAGCTACCCAACTAAAATGTTTCAGTGGAAACACTCCAAATACAACACCTTAAGAAATGAGTGATCATCTGTGCCTGGAAGAACTTAGGATCTACTGTGGATGAAAAAACAAGAACAAAAAGACTAAGAATTATGAATAAGTAAGTATTAGGAATTATGGAGGCTCTGAAGTAAATTACTTGCACACATGCACACACAAACGGGGAAAAAAGGAGTTAGAAGGTGGAGGTGGGGACAACCAGAACCTTCATCACTGGTAAGACTGCAGGCACTTGGGAAAACAGTCAGGGAACTTCTTAGAAGTTTGACAAACTTACCTTGTAACTCGGTAACTTCATTCCTAGGGTTTACATAGAAAAAAATGGGAAAAACTGAACCATGCAAAGGCTCATAAGTGAATGTTCCAGGTATAACTGCTTTTGGTACACAAAGTTCACAAAGAAGTGAAACTCAAGTGGCCAACAAGCTCATCAACTAGTAGTAAACATGTTTTAAAAGCCACACATACACAAGGGAACGAAATAGAGAGGAATGACATAGTAATGTGACAACATGATGAAAACTCACCATTTTGCTTAGTGAAAAGTACCGCATATGTGCAAAAGAACTACAAGCACTATGATCTGATTCCAATGAAACATCTACAAAAATGTCAGTCTATGGGCAGCAGAAAGCATACTTGGGTGGGGCAGACAGCCTCCAAATGATTTTTCTAGGATAATGAAAATGTTCTAACACCAAATGTTAGACAATGTTCATACAACCATAAATTTACTGAAATTAAGCTTTTTACTAAAGGCTTGTGACAGAATGATTCTACTATGATGACTTTTGCCAGCACTGAACTGTGTTTTATGATGTAATGTGTATTTGCTTCTGTAAGCTGAAAAAAAGAAAGAAGGGAAGGAATAAAAGAGGAGTGATTTATAAAAGGAAGCAAACCTAAACTACACATTTGTCTGGAGATGAAAAGGATAGCATTATAGTCCAGGGAAACCACACAGGAAGAAGTAAGTTGGTATGAGAGGAAGACCTTCTGACACAAGAAATTGGATGGTATTGATGGAGATATAAAGCCACCTACACAAGGATGTCTCTTCAGTGACAAGCTCATGAAGGGACTTCAGTACTAAGCGAGGCAAATGGCATCTGCCTGAAAATCAACAGAATGGCATTGCTAATTACACTAGTGGCAGCAGAAAACAAGTGTGATGAGCACAGAACCAGCAACAGCGTCTATGAAGAAATAATGAGGTTATAGAAGTGGATTGTCCAAGACTAAGGATTTACACTAATCTGAAAAAGTAATAGTTCATTCAACACATTTTTCATTTTAACTCACGTACCTGTTATTATACATATCAGATCATGGCAAATATTCTAATCTACTGACAGAAATGAGTTCTTTAGTCAAACTAAAGAAACCAAAAGAAAATTCATCATTTCTTATGTGAATTTTTCTTATACATTTCTCTTTCTTTTCTCCCCAAGTTTCATTATTTTTTTTTTTTTAAAGAATACATATGTCGCTCAACTTTTTGTATGTGTATAAGAGAAACAAAGTCTCAAATCAGGCTATGCTGTCAAGGATGACCCTGAATTTCTGATTCTCCTGCCTCTCTGCCTTCCAAGTCCTGGGATTACAGCCTAGCGCCACCACAACCAGTTTGTGTGTAATGATGATGACTGGACATACAGTCTACATATGCTACGCAGGAACTCTACCAACTGAACTACATCCCAGCCTTGCTCAACTGTTAATAAAGGAAAATCCCAATAAACCATAAGTTGAAAATGCACTTACTACTTCTAACTACAACTATCATAGTATAGCAACACCGTGTAGACTATCAAATGTTTATCCTTTTAAATAACAAAAAACCACTGTCCAACATCACAAGAGTGTATTACCTCAAATCACAAACACAAGAAAAGATCAAAATTCACATTCTGAATTGTCTACATAGAATCGAAGTATTATTTAAAAAATCAGTAGTCAAATCACTGTAAGTTAGTATCTGCATTCCTTATTCTAAAAAACGTTTCTATTTTTAAAACACAAGTCAAACACATAATCTGAATACTTGCAACTACTAAAGAAATCTGTTCGGCAATTACTAAGTACAACTGACAATTTTCATTGTCAACTTGAGTGATCTGGATCATCACCTCAGGCTGGTGAAACACACCTCTGGATGTGTTTGTAAAAAGGTTTCCAGAGAAGATTAACCAAGGAAGGAAGAACCTTGAATATGTGCAACACCATCATTCTATGAACTTTGAGACCTTAAGAGAATAAAGGGTTAGGAGGAGAAAGCCAGATGAGTGCTGGCTTCATTCTTCTGCGCCTCCTCATCCACAAAGAAATAAAGACCACCAGCCTTTGCCACAGCCCCCACTACCAACTATGCCAAACAACCATGAAATGAAGACTCTGGAACCATGAGCCAAATTAAGCCATCCTCCCTGAAGTCCCCCTCTCACATGTCTGGCTTTAGTAACACAACAGCAAACAACACAATAATCTTCCAAAGCCAAAGCACCAGACCCAGATGAGTCTACTAGTGAATACTACCAAAATTTGGGAAATACCTGCCAATAGAAAATGTAGAAAGCACAGCAAGCAGCCAGGTGGCAGTGGTGCATGCCTTTAATCCTAACACTCAGAGACATGCAAGCCAGATCTGTGAGTTCAAGACCAGCCTGGTCTACACAGCGAGTTCCAGGACAGGCTCCAAAACTACACAGAGAAACCCTGTTTTGGAAAAACAAAAAAGAAGAAAGAAGGGAGAGAAACCTACCTAACTTATTTTAGTGCAAAATTAGCTTCTTGTTTTTTTAAATTAGCTTCTTTTATTTCTTCTATTTTATTACACTTCTAGGAATGAATCCCAGGCCTTCACTCATGCTAGGCGAGCATTCCACCTCTGACTATAACCCCTGACTCCCAATTATCTTAATGTACAAACTGAAAACATTAAAAGAACACAAAACTAGAAACCAAGTATCTCTCCTGAACAGAGCTGTAAAAATTCTCAACATTTCATCAAGTAGAAACCAGCAATGTATAAAGAATTAAAGAGCAAGATAGAGCAGGATTTATCTTAGGCATGCAAGGCTGGCTCAACATATAAAATCATCAACAGCCTACAGAATGAAAATCACATGATAATATCAATAGATATAAGAAAAGCATTAACAAATACAATATCCAATTATGATTTAAAAAAAAAAAAAAAGCCTCAACCAAGAGCCAGGCAATGGTGGCACATGGCACATGGCACATTCCTAACACTCGTGAGGCAGAGCAGGCAGATTTCTGAGTGTACAGCCTGGTGTACAGAGTGAGTTCAAGGATAGCCATGCTATATAGAGAAAACTTGTCTCAAACGAAAAAAATAAATAAATAAAACCTCAACTAAGAATAAAGAAAAACTTTCTTAACTTGATCTAGAACACTCCTGGAAAATAAAATCTACAATGACATCATGCCTAATGAGAAATTTTAAAAAGCTTCCCACCAAGATCAGGAACAAAGCAAGATCTTTTCTCCATTACTTCAGGTCTCATTTATTCTGTGTGCTCATCCTCCACTCCACCCCCAAATAGGGCCTTGCTGTTAGCACAGAATACCCTTAAACTTACAATTTAGCCAAGGCTGGCCTCAAATGTGAGAATCTCCTACCTCAATCTCTCATGTATCAGAATTGTAAGCCATCATGTACACTTGCTTATGGTTATCTAGAGCAACTTTACTCACTTAGAAACAACCATCACTTAGGTACATTCAGACAACGAACAATTATTATTCATAACTAAAGAGAAAAAGAATTATTGAGTCATCATGAGAAGATATGGAAGAACATTAAGCACACATTACTATTATAAATGAAAGAAGGAAATCTGAGAAAGCTACATACTGTACAATTCTCACAATGTACTGGAAACAGCAATGGAGGCTATTCAAAGACTGGGGGTTGAGGTAAGGAGGGAAGAGCCAACACAGCATAGGGTAGTGCAGCTACTTCATACACTAATAGCAGACACATGCCATGTACATTGCCCAACCCTAGAATATACTATCCTGATGTTGATAACAAGGGAGGCTATCCATGAGTGTATGTAGGGAGTATTAAGGATACCCTATAGTTTCTGTTCAGTTTTGCTAAGAACCCAGAAGTGCTCAAAAACAATTAAGTCTATTTAAAATATGTCCTAAGTTTCATGACTCAGGATTACACTATTTGAACCACAGTTTTTAAAGACACAAATGCATCTCTTTTGATCTCAAGGTTAGAATTTTATGCAGACTGAAGAACTTTCTGAAGACTGTTAGGAAATAAGGCAAACTATATTACTAGGTAGTTCTGACCAGTGAATTTTGATCTTTAAGATTCATAACACATCAGATATCTTCATTTTCTCATACAGAAATATAAACAATATTAACTTTGAGTCTGAAGAACAAAAATGAGACAATAATCTATTTCTACTACAAAGAAAAAGTAATCTCATACCACAATTACTAGGTTTGTTGATATGAAATGCAAATTTACACATATATAAAAATATAAAGTGTGTTACTCCCAAAACATATAAATATAGCTACTCTACAGTATCAATGTTTTTCTTACTATAGGTAGGAATCAGCTGTTGATTTTAAATGTATCCAAACTGATTCTGTTGTAACTAACTGGGCAATGCTGTAGAGCTTGTTTCTTTCTGGGCATTCGGTTGCCTATCAATTAAGAGCATGGACTCTGCAGATTTAGGGGATTTGAATGACAACTCTATTTCCTGGTTATGTGATCCTGAGGCAGTCAGAACCCATCATATCCAGTTTACTAATTTATAAAATGAGGATAATTCATTAACTTATTTGAAGGATAAAGTATAATGGTGAAAATCTTAACAAATACCACGTATACAAAATATAATTATTAAATTATCAAAATTTTATTAACTACATATTGCCTAATCTATCCCATCATCATCACTGCATGAATAAGGCTTAACTGCCCGTCTCAAAATAATAATAAAACTAAATCACAAGCCTAATAAAAGTTCAGCAAATTTAAAAGGAAACTTTCATTTTTAAAATATAATTTGTTAAAAAAAAAATTAATGAATCACTTACTGATGTCTATCCTCTGTTCTACAGGTAAAGGACTGATTCGAGTAACAAGTTTTGAAAGACATGTTGCTGCAAGGAGCTGAGCATAGGATGTCTGTAAAGAACAGTAATTTTTATTAGCATCACAAAAATAAAATAATCAAAATACAAGAAATTTTCCTAGACAGCAACAGTAATTTTTGAGTTTTCCAAAGTAGCAGATTTGTGATGACTAAAATACATGTACTTGAAATACACACTGTAGATCATGAATGCACACAAGCGCTCATAAAGATCATTAGCTGAGGATGTGTACAAAACCATCTCAACAGCACCAAGTAAATGGGAAAAATAAACATCTGAACAAGTTCAATTAAACACTCTTAACATGGCCTGGCACTTCTGCACACTCTGTCAATCTGTGCTATATACACAAACACACTGAGAGCCACACTTCAGAAGGCTGTGCCCACAACAGTTCTTCAGTGGGATGAAGTTTCTGACACATAAAGCCTTGCCCAGTCTTTACCTGTTGTTCATGGCTGGCTGCATGTTTAATGGCAGATATTAGCAGCTAAGACTGACCCTGTGTATTCTCAAATCTGGCTGCTGCTCACATGCCACAAATTTCAGTGATACGAGACCAGTCTCTAGGGTGTCTCAGAAATGGAGCCAAGATGAGACATGCTTTTCATTTTATCAGTGTATATCTACCATGTCAAAGAAGAAAAAACCTGGACTTTAAATTCTAAATCTTAAGGCATAGTGCTAAATTAGTGGCAGATCAGTGAGCTTTCTCCAATAATGCTACAGTTACCGTGTCCTAAAAGAATATATGTCGACAATTTCAAACTAAGCAGTCATAAAAATATTTCCAACTTAAAGTCAGTAGTCTTTCTGAAATTTGAAACAGACGTCAGAGCAGCAGTTTCTTTATTTAAAAAGTAGTAAAAAATGAGGCTACAAACCAAAGTTTACAAGTGGCAGCCAGGTAGTGGTGGTGTACGCACTCAGGAAGCAGAGGCAGGTGGATCTCTGTGAGTTCAAGGCTAGCCTGGTCTATAGAGTGAGTACCAGGACAACCAGAGATACATAGTGAAACCCTGCAAACACAAAAAGTTTACAAGTGGTTCATTATTTAAGTCAAATAAAGGAAGCTACTTACTAATGGTGAGTTAATCACCATTGTTTTACTGCAGCAACTGGTTATGTTTAGAGAAAGCAAACTTCACTAGCCTTTCAGTGAGAACAAATGCTCAGATGAGGATGTAAAGCAACATGAAAAGCCAATTTAAAGGCAAGGCAATTGCAAAGTTTATCATTAGCTTTAAATGAATGGGTTGGGGTTCCTTAATAATTTGTTCATGCTATTAATGCTACTGACATTTGTCATCTACTTATTCTAGAAGCCAAGGAAGAATGGGAAGCAATTAAAGAACTGCTACCTTTTATGGAGAATCTGTGGAACTATAGGCCAGATACTTTCAAAGGAACTGAGGAAGCACTAATTAAATACAAACCTTAGGTAGAATCTGCCACATACTTGTGACAACTGTACATGAAGCAGAAAGGGGCCTAGTTGGTCATATTCACAAGGTTTATAAATAATAATAATTCTGAAGCCTATATCATTCACTTTAATATTAGCATTTATTCTGGAGTGAATATCTAAATCTCTTCTAACTTAATGAACCAGGAGTGTTCATTTACTTTCGTGAGCTCATCTCTCACTGTGTAGATTTCTGCCAAATCAAGATGCCCTGACTTGCCCCAACAAAGTAGACTAATAGCCTGTCAGAGTTAAATTGAATTTCTTTTTCTTTTTTTAAGTTCAGGTCTGAAAGTGAAATTTTATAGATAAAACAAAGCCACTATTTTTCACTATTAAGTGGCTTTAGAAATTACTTTATACAACAAACTTGTTCTCTCAGTGAATCTAACCTAGTGCCTAAATGAAGGGTACACACTTGTACAGGGGATGGCAGGATGAGGAACACTCCAGTAACTCAGGCAACCATTAAAGCTGTGTGAATTCACCAGGACTGCCAGGCCACTCCACACATTCCTACACTGAGACACTGAAACAGTGAAAGCTCCACTCTCACACTTACTCTAATCTCCAACTACAGTCCCGGTAGCATGTTTACATACTGATACATGTATAATGAAAACTTCTGTATCTGAAAGTCCACTTTGCTGTGCAACTGAGGACCTTCTACCAAATATTTAATTGGAAATTAAATTGTTAATTTGTAACACAATGACAAGCAAAATGGCAAATATCAAGAGGATTTAGTAGAAGTACAAATATGCCCTCTAAGTAAAAGTGTACATGATGCACACCAGACGCCAAAGCACTGGGATGATGTTTGGCAGCATCTAGGTTAGTGAAGATATTTTCAAAGATGTAAAGTTTTAGCCAGCATAACAGTGCACACCTTTAATACTAGCACTTTAAGGGCAAAACCAGGTGGATCACTGTGAATTCAAGGCTAGCCTGCTCTACACAGAGAGTTCCAGGTCAGCCAACGTTCTCACATAGCAAGACCGTGTCTAATGAAAGAAATTTATCTTATTATAAATCTGCATGAATATATGAACTATGAACATTTATAATCAAGTCTAATAACAGGAAACACCAACTTTCAAACTCCAATCAATCCCCATTTATTGGCCAACCTGTATACATAAAAACTACATTTAGTGATTATATTTTGAATTTTACCAACAAAACATTTAGGCTCACAAAGCCTAAAATACTACAAAGCCTTTTATGGAAAGTCTGTCACCTTTTCTGTAAAACGTAAGTCTCTTTCTGTGACATTCTCCATATTACTGCATACCTACCTCTTTATAGATCTATACCTCTCCAACTAAACAGTGAACTACTTTAATTCATGTACATAGGTCAAGTAAGCAGGACATAAAGTATTTGGTAATGTTTAAGTATGTGCTGACTGCTGAGCTAGAACCAGGGCTCCAGCTCGTTCTCTCGTTGTCTCTCTCTCTCTCTCTCTCTCTCTCTCTCTCTCTCTCTTTCTGTCTGTGTGTGTGTGTGTGTGTGTGTGTGTGTGTGTGTGTGTGTCTAGAATGAAGGCATGAAGAAGAAGCAGTGAGCCCTCTTTGATTTTCTAGAGTTTAACATAACCTACCTACTTACAACAATTGGATTTTTTATTATTCCTAAAATATAATTGTTAAGGCTGGGGATGTAATTTGGCAATAGAAAGCTTGCCTAGCATGTAAAAGGCCCTAGTTCATTCCCCAGGACTGCTAAAATAAACACATATGTGACATAGAAGCAAGCCAAGCAGAACCAAGAAACTATTTTAATACATTCCTATTTCTGCTTTATGGCTGTTTCCTATGTTTGTTTCCCTGGCTTTCTAGTTCTTTCTTGCTTAACCCCTTTGAAAGAAAATTACAGTAAAAAAAAAAAAAAAAAAAAATGTGGGAAATGCTATGAGTATCAGTACTAATCCTGCTATGACAATTATCACTGGCCTTTCATGGTTAATCACTCATCACATACTTACTGTTCCTTGTTCTAATAAAAGTTGACACTTGCTGAGACATTCTGGGCTGTCAATCAATTCCAAGAGTGCTTTCTCAGCCTCTATTCTTTCTGTGAGATCAGTCCCTACATAGAGTTGAGTACACAATGCTTCCAATTCGGCCAAATCCTTCAGAGGGGGGAAAAAAAGATATTTGACTTAAATGAAAAAATAAATATTATTAAACACAGGATACGAGATAAACGAATACTGCTTATATACATTCATTTGATACATAGTTATTGAGCAGCAATGACTCACTTAGACACAGTAACAAGAGAGGTGTATTTTCTATTTCCCAAATAACTTACTTATAAACTGAATTATGTAATGTGATTTAATATAATGGGGAAGATTCTCTCCTTAAGGAGTTAGCAAAGTTGTGCCTGAAAAAAAAAAACATATAGGCTAAAATGTCCAACACAAAGAATGCCTCAAATCTAAAGGGTAAACCAGAAGAAGAAAAGACTATAAGGTAGTGTAGGCAAAGAAACAGCATTTACAAGGGCTTGAAATAAAATGAACATACTCTTTTCAAGACATTAAACAGTGGCCAATAAACAGCTAGGAGGTGCCCAACGAAGCTAGAAACGGGGTAAGGAGAATGACCACACACAAACTGCCAATAGCTCAATTTATACTCTTGTTGTTTCCAATCCTACCACCTGTAACAAAAGCACTAATGATAATTTTATTTATATATATATATATATATATATATGTATATATATATATATATATATATGACAGTTATCTGGGCCTTCTGAACTCATAGTGCTTCAGGTCATGATTTTTGATCCTACAATACTTCTAACAACTTTCTAACTAATTGTTGCTTAGGCTTTTTAATCTTATAAGCACAAAAACTACCTCATTCTGTTTACACATACAATGTCATCTGATGATACAGAATACATGGAAACAATGAACTACTAAGTGAGTTCAGCTTAAAAGAATCTTGTTAAAGCCATTTACTGAAACAAATTATTTCACTTGGAACTTGAACTACGTACTTGACAAAAAATATTGGCAGAGATTTCAAAAACAGGTAGCCAAATGAACACAGTGGGCTATTCCAAACAAAATGCCAATTTTGTTTGGTTTTGGCCTGAGTTTGTACACACAGCTTTTAGTTACAGTAGGCTTCACACCCTCAAATGCCCACACACCACACAGGAGCCAGCATGGTTCCCATCCTTGCTTCCACTTCTCTCTTTTCTCACTTCCCCATCTGTGCCACAACCCAGTGGCCAAGACTGGAGATTTTTCAGATACAGTCCAAAACTAAAGTTTCAAACTGATTCATTAAAGTACCTTGCCAGGCATAGTGGCACATACATGTAATCCGGCAGTCGAGGAGGAGGCAGGAGAACTGTCCTACACTCATCACTTAGAGTTAAATGAGGATGAGTTGTATGCACATAGAAACACTGTAAAGAACTTTACCCTTAGAAGGCAGGTCTAATTCCTAACCCTCAGAGTCTATGAAAACAACCGTCATTAGAAATAGGGTCTTTATAAACCCTAGATCTGGAGTGTGCACTAAATCTAACTCTAAACCAAATTACTGGCATCCTTGTAAGGAAGGACACGGTTGTACATTTCTATAATCCCAGCATTCAGGAGGCTAAGGATTTAAGGCCATCCTGAGCTTCAAAGGAAATTTCCAAATAAAAGTCTTCTCTGACAGGTGGGAGATGCTGGCCCCCTTCCCTGTATAATAGAACTTTCCCCAGAACTGTATGCAAATATAAAAGACTGATCATGAAGCTAGGACATTCCTTCTGTCAGTGTACCAATACAGGTGGGCACATGTCAGTGTTTGCCTGGGACTCTCAAAGCATTGTGAAATCTGACAGTAAGATACAGAACCCCAAACTCCAAATGGTCTTGTAGGTACTAGTGTTTACTTCCCTAAAATATCATTTGCAGCCTCAGAAAACTCCTTGCAAAGGTAATCCTGATGAACATGGAAGCTGGTCATACTTTTAATGGTCATTATCCCCAATCTTTAAAAAAAAAAAAAAAAAGAGTAATTTTCTGGAAAGAGAAAGGAAGAGGGCCATTTCAGATGCAGAGAGATACAGAGGAGAAGGCCAAAGAAAGACAGGCAAAGACTAAAAAAAAATCACATCTAAAACTAAGACATGCCAAAGCTGCCAAAAGCAATGAGATGCTAAGGCCTCCCAAAGGAACTAACCCTATTTGTCCTTTATTTCAGTCTTCTAGCCTTCAGAACTGAGAATAAATTTGAGTTTAAGCCACCCCACTTGTGGTATTTGTTACAAAAGACCTATGAAACTAATATTTAAAAAAATATATAAATGAAGCTGGGCAGTGGTGGTGCATGACTTTAATTCCAACACTCTGAAAGCAGATGCAGGAGAATCTCTTGAGTTCAAGGCCAGCCTGGTAGTCTACAGAGCTAGTTCCAGGACACCTAGGGCTGTTACAGAGAAACCCCTTCTCTAAAACAAAGCATATGTGTATATGTTAATATTAGTCAAGTTAATGATATCTAAGTATCTAAGTAAGCCTATTAAGAAAGATTGTGATAAGGTCTGGATAGTATTTGCTTTGTTACATTGATTTACTAAACTTCAAGACAGAAAGACAGGTAAATAGTCAGTGTTCAGTCAACATTACCAATCACCTTTTTTCTCCAAAGATGTTGCAAATTACTTTAAATATTTTTAGATTTACTTTACATATATTTTTTATTTACATTTACATTTATTTTTATGTATACAGGTGTTTTGCTTGCATGTACATCTGTGCATTACATGCATGCACTGGCTCCAGAAGAGGGCATGCAATCCCCTGGAACTGGAAATACAGACACTGTCAGCTGTCTTGGGGTGCTAGAATCAAGCCCAAGTCCTCTGGATTAGTAGCCAGTGCTCCTTACCACTGAGCCATCTCTCTAGGCCCGATATTTAAAATTATTAACAAATGACAATAGAATAAAATTAAAGGAGAAGTTTGAAATTTTACAAAAGATTTGAAGGGGGCACCAAGTTTTCTGTTACTGTAATGGTTTAAAAAAAATTCTAGTATATTAAATGCTAAACCATTCCAGATATATAAAGATTCTTGGCCTGGTAGAAAGGAATTACCCAGACATTGCTAACCAATCAATTTTCTGACTGGTTTTCCAGAGAACCTATCTACAGTCATTTTATCCTTCATAGCAAACTGAAAATTTTTCATCTTAGTTATTAAAAACTGATGTCTGAGAATATGGTGAGAATGGCTCACAAATGCATCCTGTCCCAATTTATTGACATTTGGATTATTAAAGCTTCTATAAGATAATGTCAACAATAGAAGCACACAAATAATAAGAACAATGAGAAGAACTGGACCTGGAAGACCTCCAAAGGTAACTAGTAGATTTTGACCAAATTAAATACAGATCTTCCTAGCCAGGCATAGGGATACCAGCCTTTAATTCCAGCACTCAAAACACAGAAACAGACATTGAACTTCAGGCTAGCTGGTCTACATCATGAATTCCAGGTCAGACGGGACTGAACAGTGAATCTCAAAAAAAAAAAAAAAAAAAAAAAAGACTCCTTGGCTGGGTGGAAGGAAGGAGTGAGGAAGGGGAGGAGAAGGCAGCCAAGAGTACAGTAAAGAACATAAGAACACAGGGAAATATAAGTGAGCAATGGCTATTTTCATATTTTAATGACAAATTCACAGATGTACATAAATACCAAAACTTATCCTATTGCAGTTTAAACACGTGTATTTTATTAAGGATTATGATATTTCAATAAAAAAGCTTCTGCTCCAGAAAACAAAATAAAATTTGATAATACTCTTTAAAAATAGATAAGCCTCACATATCTCACTGTAATAGACTCTAAAGTTCTTTTCAATTACTTCTCTATACCTTTCCTGCCTTCTAGAATCATGACTGCCACTAGTATGCACTGCCTTCATTTTGAGATTACTTGTTTCCTACAAACTGTTCCTCCTTCTGTTAGTTGTGCATTCTCAAAGGCTTATTACTGGGCCTCTTGGAACTAGCACTTTCTTCAACAACAAATCGGATATTACATTGGTGTAAAAGCAGTTGCAGGTTTGGATTGTGAATTTTAAATAATTATAACTAGGCTTAAAGTATAATTAATCAAAACACAAACCATTAAAAATCAATATATATTTTTGCCAATGACAAATAACTTTATTTACTCCTTTAGACTCATGCTTTGACATCAGACAAATTCTTGGAAAGCAATTTCCACATCCTGTGGGTTACAGAAGTGTTTTATCATTGTAAACACTGTCAAGGTGCTTGAAGAAGTGGTAGTCAGTTGGCAAGAGGTCAAGTGAACATGGTAGATGAGGCAAAAGTCTAAAAGCTCAATGAATTCAACTACTGAAGCATTGATTGCACACATTGCAGTCCTGATTTGTCCTGCAGTGTGGACCCTTTCTGAACACTGACCAATGCCAGTTGTGTGTGTGTTGCAGCATTTGGTGCACATGCCATGGATATGTTGAGCATGCTTCTCAGATCTAGTGGTTTAACCAAATTTCAGTTGTCAGTGGATCAGACTAGCAGCAGACCACCCAACTGTGATCACGACCTTCTTATGTGCAAGTTGTCTCTGGGGTGTTCTTTGGATGCTGAGCTGGTCATCAGCAATTGTCATATTTAATCCATTTTTCTGTCACATGTCACAATCTGATCAAGAAATGGTTCATCAATGTTATAAAGAATAAAAGACAGTTTTCTACAAAATGTTTAATCAGCTCATAAGGAATCCATTTACCAAGCTTTTCTGCCTTTCCAATTTGCTTCCAATGTTGAAAGACCATGAATGGTCCAGAGTTTTCTGGCAACTTATCTACAGTTGTAAAAGGATCAGCTTCAATGATTGCTTTCCATAGATCAATGTCAACTTCTGATAGTCAGCCACATTGCTCCTCAACTTCAGGGCTCTCAATTCCTTTGCAAATTTTATTCAACCACCACTGCACTGTATATTCATTAGCAGTTTGTGGACCAAATGTTCTGTTGAAATTGTCTCTGCTGCCATTGATCCATTTTATACTTGAACAAAAAAAAAAAAAAATGTTCACAAGATGGCTTAGGAGGTAGTTTAACCAATATACAT